TTGATAAATACATAAGCACATGTTTGATTGACAAGATGAAAATTTATACAACTTGTGAGTAATGGCAAAAAAAGGATAGCACAAAAGATTGTAATCAACTGACACACTGTACGTATATAATTGAAAGATGGTTTTATGTTTTTATGTCTTGTTTGTATGTTTGTTTGTTGTAAAAAATAAAAACTTTAAAAAAAAATATAAATCTTAATTTTAACAGTACTGTGTCATCATTATTATATACATTGCTATACAAACTAATCTCATTATTATAAATCATTACACAAACCAATCTCATATAAATATCTACATTTATATATCTACATACATTTATATATTGTTATCTGTAACTTTCTTATTTCTTTTTATCTTTGTTTCTGTTACTCAACAATACCAATTATACCAAGTTTCATAATACTCTGACTCTTCTTTCTCTTTTAATTTTAAGCTCAATTTATTCATTTCAGCACAATCTAGATTTTTTTGGATAATTAATTCCTCGGAGGGTATATTATTTTGTTTCCAACATTGTGCATATATTATCAATGCTATCAGAATATGTAATAGAATGTATCTAATTTTCTTTCTATACTTCCCCTTAATTATCCCCAACAGAAACAATTCCAGTTTAAATTCTATTTGTTCTTCAATTATCTCTTGTATCCAAATCCTAATTTTCCTCCAGTATTTTTGGGCTACTGGGTATAACTACTACATATGATAGAAGGTACCATGTTTTCGTTTGCATTTCCAGTATATAGGATTCATATTGGGGTACATTTTAGCTAATGTCATTGGTGGCAAATGCCATCGTTAAAAAATCTTGTACATATTTTCTTTATAGGCTGCTGATCTTGTTAATGAATAATTTTTGTTCCATATTCTTTCCCAATCTGCTATATCTATATTAAATCTATATTATAAATCTACAGTATATTATGTCCCAAAATTTTACCCATGCTATTATGCATCCTTTTACTACCTCCTCTTCTAAGGCAACTTTTAATCGGTAATTATACATTTTTGCTATAAATTTCTCTTCTGGGTCTGTTAACATTTTATCTAATTGTTGCAATTCAGTGTAGATTCCATACTCTTCCATATCTTTTTTATATCTGTTTTGTAATTGTAAATATGGATACCAATCAGTGAATATACCCTGCTCTTTTAATTCCTGATTCATTTTTAGTTTTCCCTGTTCGTCTAACACTTCTCTACATCTAACCTTTTTGCTAATATCCAATGTGTTTTGGGAGATCATCGTCTCCATGGTAGATAACCAGATAGGTACATGGAAGCACTCTAAAAGGCCTGGGCACAACCAGAAAATTGTCAGGTTACAGTATATGATTAAAATAGGGTGATTTGAGTTCAATCAGGGAGGTCCAGGGGTGTGATTCAACTGGTCTAACAACCAGTTTGGTGAGTGCGTGCTTTGCACACACACAGAGGGTTTGCTACTGACCTTCTCCTGCAATCCTGCACTCCCTGTGTGTTAAACAGCTGACACGCAGCAATCTACTGTGCCGCACAAAGCAGCTGAGCTTGAAAACCAGGAAATAAAGGTCAGAATGGGTGTGTGGGCAGGCCCAGCAGCTGATCACTGGAGCAAACTAGTTCACTCACAGATGATCCTCGGAGCTACTGGTTCGGCCAAATCAGGCCGAACTGGTAGAATACCACCCCTGGATAAGTCCTATTGGGTGACCTTTGACCAATCATCTTTCAATCTCATGTATTATACAGAATTTCTGTGTGTATGTCGTGCCCCTGTTGGAATCTGATTTGGAGAGGGAGGTCAAGCAGCTGAAATGGAGTGGGAGTGTGGATCTGTTGTCTGTGGAAGAAACTGGAGAAGGGCAAAGCCTGGCTGAGCAGAGCAGGGGAGAGGTAGAGCAAGGGTGAGGTAGAGGAAGGGAGAGGGAATTCGGAGGAAGATCCAGGAACGGAGAAGGGAGCAACCTGAGTTGTGTGGCTTACGGGGGAGGAAAGGTCCCTGATTCCCTTAATTAGCTGCAGCTGGGAGCACAGTGTTTAAAAAGGGAAGTTGCGCACAGCAAACTGTTGAGAGCAAATCGTGAATTATCTGGTATTGTTGAGGCTTATCTGGGTTCCCGGCATCTTCCCAACTGTGTGTTTTGGTGGCCTTTCAAGTCTGCAATTCCTTCTCCTGCCCTGTCAAGTTAATTACTGCAGCGTGGTTTGTGTGGATTTTTATTTACAGTTTGCATGTACTTTGTTTTTGGACTGAATTTCCTCCACTTAAAGGCTGTTCTTGGGAGAGTTTTTTCTCCACCCAAAGGTAACCTGGACATTGGGGGCAAAGTTGGAGGTACTAAAGGGACTCTTACTTATGCGACTGTGTTGCCTTTGTGCCACGCCCCAGGTCATCACAGTGTATGTGGGAAGGGGTATTTAAAGGCCCTTGGAATAAACATAATAAAGATCGACTTCCAGCTGACGTCACGACAAGACCAGAAACAGTAAACTGAGGTCTCTGTTCCTGTGCTGGCTTCTCACCATTTGTGGGCTCTGCACGGAGCCAATAGCCACTTTGTAGGGGCAGCAAAGCAAAGGAGAGGCGCTCAGTGAGGTTCTGGGAGAGAATGCAACTCCCCCATGAAAACTCTTGAGCATGCTCTCTACACCACGACGGAGAGATCAACCAAGATGGCCGCTACAGAGTTGGGACAGCAGAACATCTAAGCACAATGCTGGAGCGGAGTTTGGGAATGATGTTTGGAGAAGGGTGAAAATAATTCATATTATCTTTTACCTACCCCAAAAGGACTATAACAGAGAAGCCTAAGGAATTGAGTTAGTGGTGACTTGGAAGATAGAAGAAGAAATGGAAAATGTAAAGAGCTTAAACTTTTAACATTTTAAAAGGAATAAATTTGGAAGAACACTAATTTGGAATTGGGGAGCGGACAGGATTTGGCATTGGAAGGCATCAATTTGAATGCTGGAAATAATTGTTCTAAAAGAGAAATAATATTTGATTTTCTAAAAAAAAGTGGTGAAGCTAATTTAAAGAAATGGAAAAAGGGTGGCTGTGAAACTGGACTAAAAGCGCCACTTGTTGACAAAAGGAAAATCTTGCAGATCCCTTCAAACTAATGATCTAATCAAAAGAAGAAATTAAAAAGGAATAAAAGACACTACAATAAGACCCCTGGAAGCTGAAATATATTATAATTAAAGAGCAAGGAATATAAGAGGATATTATCCCTGGAATTATTGGTGACTTGGACTGATTAACATTGGGAAATAAAGATTTGAGAATATTGATATTAAAAAAGAGACACTGGTTCATATAAACTAAAACTTACTGGATACTGGACAATTGGAATAATAAGTAATACAAAGATGAGTGACATATGTAAAGAAATAAAGATGGACCTTCAAGCCATGAATGAGATCTGGAATAGAATGTTGGATTTATGCACAAAAATACAGAATACAGAGAAAAATTCAGAAATGGCGATGAAAGAAGAAGAAGAAGGAGGAGGAGGAGGAGGAAGAGGAGGAAGGGGGAGGAGATAGAAGAAAGAGAAACCAGTGAAACGGAACAAAAGGAACAACAAATAATGCAAAAGAAGAAAAAAGAAATTGAATTTGAGATATTAATGATAGATGCAATAAATGGGGGGGGGATATTGAGATTGGAATGCTGATAAATGAAATGGCTAGGAAATTACAGAAAGGAGATCAGAAGAGGGTGGGGATAAATCTTGAGAAATGGGGAGAAAATACCAGAAAATGATTAAGAATAGAGGAAGGATTAAGGGAAAAAGCCAAAGATTATAGAAAATGGTAAGCAAGCAAAGAAATGACGAATTAATATAAAAGAGAGACTTGGAGATAATGGTTAGAAATGGAAAAGAAGGGGACTCCACATGAAGAGGTATTTTACCAGTAAAATATACAAAATAAATCTTAAGATTAACTAAGTAAAACAGATAAATGTTTATGGAAGATAAAAGTGATTAATATTTATGATAGGAAAGGGAATATTATGTGGAGCCCAACAGAGAATAGACATAACCATATAGTAGAATAATATTTTTAATGAATTATATCCTTTGTTATTCATATATATAAGGTAATGAGGTTATAATGTTATAAGGTTGATATTATTGGCTAAAAGAAAATATATTTGTGTAAAAACGAGGTGTTAGAGGGAAGGGAATATACAGAAAATAAAATATACATAACAGTGGCAAATGTAATATTGAGCGGGGTATAATAGGGGATAGTATAAATTAAGATTAAATCTTGAACGGTCAATGAATGGTATGAATAAATTAAATTGTAAACATGGTGAGCATAAGAAATATATGATTAAGGAAGTTAGAGATTGATTAGAATGTTTTTTATTAATTAAATATTTTGTTATCCACTTGTACAAGGTAATAAGGATATATTGTTATATTGCTGGCTAAAGAAAATAAGATGGAAAATATATTTGTGTAAAAATGAGAAGTTAAAGAGAAGGAAACACACAGAAAACAAAATATATTAATAAAATTGGAAAGGAGATTTAATAGGAGATAATATAAATTAAGATGAAATTTTGAATGATTAATGAAATGATATGAATAGATTAAACTGTAAACATGTTGAATTTAAGTATATGATCAAGAAAGATAGAGATTGATTGATGTAAAAGTATTAATGAGATTATAAAGAAGAAAATTTGGTAATAGATAATGATGTGATGTTAGGAAGCTGTATCTGTGACTATGGATATGACTGATTTAAAATATAAACACCTGGAACCACACTGTTTTTGTAAAGATGTATTTAAATAATTAAAAAATAAAAAAAACTTTTCATTGAAAAAGGAATAAATGTGGAGTTCTGACAGTTTAAATAAATCCCGTATCTCCTTCTTCAGATACCAAATACATTGGAAATGCCCTTCTCTACTCCATTAATAAAGTCCAGGCCAGACTTAGTGTTTGATCCTAAACCTCTTTTATACTCCTTCAATTGACCAGGATTTGTCTCTAAACAAAGAAGAGCTGAAACTATCACGAGACAGGTTAATAGCAGAGAGGGCAGAGAAGCGACGGCTGGCAGTGGAGACAAAGCGAAAAGAACAGGAAGAGCGGAAAAGGAAAGAGCAGGAAGAGCAGGAGCATATGGAGAAAATGAGAGAAGAAATGGAACAGGAGAAGAAAAGGAGGATTGAGGAGTTTCGGTGAGCAGAAAGAAATAATTATCTCCTATTTGATAAGAGAAGTTGTGGGATGCTTTCACACCCTTCCCTTTCCCACTCCCATCCAAAAACCGCCAAGAAACCATGAATACCTAAGGCAGCCTTTTCTGTCTGATTCCCCAAAATCTTTTGAAGCTTCAGAAATTAAGAACAGGCAAGGAACATCATGAACCAGTCAATGCTCCCTTCAGCTAACCCAGTGACAAGTGTAGAAATTATTCTTAGCTATCATGCTACTCCTGGAGTTATTGTAACAAGTTTTCTTGCCCCACATATAGAAAAAAAAGTAAAAAGTAAATTACAAATCCAATGGCTCTTGACGTATTTCCAAGTTAGGGCTTGAGAAGAATTGTTTCTAATTTTTATTTCTGGTCTTACCTGTTTGATCTATTATACATTCCCAGGCAATGCTTACCTGAGTCCTACTGGACTTTTATGACCAACTTTATTTTCTCTCAGTTTAAGAAAACAGCAGCTTGAAGCAGAGCGGCAGCAACAGGAAGAAGAGGCAGAAAGGGAACGACGAGCAGAGAAGGCAGCCCAAGACCAGGCCCGGCGGCAGCAGGAGGAACAGCGTAGGAGATTTTTGGAGATACAGAGGAAGAAGCAGGCACAGGAACTGGAACAGGCAGGTAACCTAAGACAGGCCATGATGTCAGAGCCAACCCCAGCTCTGTGGAAATCCTTAGCAAGACTGTCATGGGATTCTTTTAAACTTCCTAGGAAATTCCAAAGTGCCTGGCTTTGTGATACTTGGGGGTCGCCAAGGAAGATAGCAGGGCCCACTCAATTGAAGTGCTACTTTAGTATACTTTGTAATGCCTTTTTAAAAAATAAAGTGTATTTGTGTTTTTTTAAATAGAGGAATAATATTACTAAAAATTGCCAATCGATTCAAATATATCCATATCCCTTTCCTATCCTTGAGAAATTGCCCCACCTGTTTTTAAAAAATCAGTCAAAATCTCATTTGACTACACATACTGCTTTATTATTACCACTTCCCAAATTCAAAACAATACTCAGAGGATGTGGGTAAGGAAGAAAACCATAAGGAAAGAATAAATTCTGAATTCAGTTATTATTCCTAGCATATGAACACAAATGTCATGACATTTTACTAATTTAGTGCACATTCTAATAGACAAGTGTAAAATATTTCCCAGTGAAATATTAACTTTCTAGTAAGATGTCAGTAAGGCTCTTGTGTCATTTATAGTAAATTAAGCTTTTTGGGTGGGTGGTGTCATTGACAAATTTCCTGGATTAAGAGGGAGGGAGATGTCAAAATAGAAGTATTTGTAATCAAATGCTAGAATCAGGCCAAGGAAGGACAGTTGTTTCTGTAGTTTCACCTCACCGTGAAAAATTATTTACTGTAATTTATAAGAAATATCTATATATTTTGTAGAAGCTTGCCATTATTGTATGTTTGGATATTTCAAATGGTCTTTTGAATGGCTATGGCTATTGCTATCTCAGCAGCACCTCTCAAAGGCCAAGGATGGTCCTCTGCTTGGAAGAAACCACAGTAGTATTCCCATTTTAACAAAGTTTTACTTTTTGTTTCAAGACTGTTTTCAATTCCTCTCTCCTTGGTTCTGGTCTCCAATGGAATTCTTAGGCATTTCTCTCAGCAGTTCAGTTCAATGGTAGTTAGAGGCTAAGATTATTGAATCAATGAATATGAGCTCATTTAACTCTATAGGAAATCCGATTGCTGATGTTAAATACACCATGCACACATTAGGCATGAGTACTTTGACCACATCATCGTTTGTATGCATATTTTCCACCTCCAAGCTGTATAAACTTAAATGCTTAGTGGATATAAGCAAATCCGGTGATGTGTATTTGTGTAATGAGGGAGGGTGTGACCTAAGGAGACCAACACCCTATATCAAGGTGTGCATAATTATTAGGCAGCTTCTTTTCCTCAGGCAAAATGGGCTAAAAAAGAGATTTAACTGACTCTGAAAAGTCAAAAATTGTAAAAAGTCTTTCAGAGGGATGCAGCACTCTTGAAATTGCTAAGATATTGGGCTGTGATCACAGAACCATCAAAATGTTTGCTGCAAATAGTCAACGAGAAACATGTTGAGAAAAAAAGACACACTTAGCTGCCAAAGATTTGAGAAGAATCTAATGTGAAGCTACCAGGAACCCATTATCCTCCAGTGCTGCCATATTGGATAACTCCAACCTATCTGGAGTGCCCAGAAGTACAAGGTGTTCAATGCTCAGAGACATGGCCAAAGGAAGGAAGACTTAAATCTTACCACCGCTGAACAAGACACATCAGTTGAAACTGGGTCAAGAAATATCTAAAGACAGATTTTTCAAAGGTTTTATGGACTGATGAGAGTGACTCTTGATGGATCAGATGGATGGGCCCATGGCTGGATCAGTAATAGGCACAGAGCTTCACTTCGACTCAGATGCAAGCAAGGTGGAAGTGGGGTACTGGTATAGGCTGGTGTTATTAAAGATGAGCTAATTGGACATTTTTGGGTTGAAAATGGACTCAAAATCAACTCCCAAATCTAGTGTCAGTTTTTAGAGGACACTTTCTTCAAGCAGTGGTACAGGAAAAAGTCTGCATCTTTCAAGAAAACCATTATTTTTATGCAGGACACTGGTCTATCGCATGGATCAAAGTACTCCACTGCACAACTCTTTAATTAATTTTCAATATTTTATACTGCTTTTCATAAAAACAAAATAATTGTTATAAATATAATAAATTGTATGGTAATTTAAACTAGTAAAGATGATAAAATCTAAAAACAATTTTAATGTTAACAGCAATACAACAGCTGAAGGAAATGCCTGTGTGGGCATAAGTGTTCAATTTCTGGTGAAAATATCAAAGAGTTCAACTTACTACCAGCTAGAGGTTTATTGTGGTTCCACTTCCCAACACTCCTTGTTTTATCTCTACAAGAGGCAGATTCGGCTGAGAGTGAAATTGGCCTAAGTTCATATTTTGTTTTTTGAAGTTTTATTTATGCCCACTTCCTTTGTTCAGTCCCAACATTACACTAGAACTGTTTATTGTTTGGCACGTTTCCTTTTGGTCCTCTAGCTTTCCAAACTGCAAAATATTAATGTTTTGCAATAAAACATCTAATTAATCATGCACTTGAGGTTTCCCCTAAATGCAGAGTTTTCCTATCTTTTCACTTCAGTTACTTTATTCCTCCTGAAATAGAAATAGCTAGTAGCTTGCTTGCTTGCTTTCTCTCTGTTCCTTAGAAGCAGAAAAACGCAGACAGAAAGAAATAGAAATGCAACTGGAGGAAGAACAGCGACAGCTAGCAGAGATGGCCGAGGAGCAAAGGTTGGAATATGAGAAGAGGAAAAAGGAGAAAGAAGAGAAAATGAGGCTTGAGGCTGAGGAGAGAAGGAGAAGAGCTGAGGAAGAGGCTAGAGTTGCTTTGGGAGAAGCAAGAAAGCAAGCGTTATTACTCTCAAGGTATACAGAACTTCCTAGGAAAAAATTATTCTTAATAGTGAATTATGACAGGATGCCTGTTTTCAGCTGTTATAGCATTGGATCTACGAGAAGCCCAATTTAATGTTAGATAACATCAGTCTTCCTCTTAGCCTAAGTCAGGGGTATCAAATTCAAGGCCCAGGGGCTGGACCTGGTCCACGCGATGCTTAAATCTGGCCTGCAGGGCTGCCCTGGAAACATTGAAGGACTAGGCCGTGGTGCCTCTGCCAGCAAAAATGGAGCTTACAAGGGATTTGTGTGGTCCTCCCAAGCTCCATTTTCGCTGGCAGAAGGTTGCAGGCTGTCCCAGCTGAAAATTGAGCTCAGGAGCCCATTTTCACTGGCCGAGCACTTGGGCCACCAGACACCAAACATGAGGGATGGCATGCTGGCCACGCCCACCCTGGCCACACCCAGCCTAGCCCTCCCCCAAGGTCAAACAAAATCCTGATGCAGCTCTCAATGAAATCAAGTTTGACATCCCTAGCCTAAGTGAACTGAATCACATTTCTAGATTAGAACCTCTTCCTTTATCCAGTAAATACAGTATTATCCACCAGTCACATTACATTGACTGAGGCAGGAGCAATGCTCAGTCTTTACCCCCCAAAAAATAAATGGATAGGTCAAGGATCAGGCTAATTTCATAAGCAGAAATCATCCATGAAGCTGTCTTTCATTTAAATGTCCAGGTATCCAGTAAGTATTCATTGTAGTGTATTCTGCCCCTTACTAGTAAATATGCTCCTATAGTTTGTGGTAAGAATGGCTTTTTCTAAGAAATACACTTTTGCCAATTGATAATTAATGCTTAATGTTAATGGCAGTGAATTTCCTGTAAAATTCTCCCAAATGTTTAGCTGCTCCCAAATGCTATGGCAAGAATTTTTAGTGGAATACATACTGTAATTCTTATTTTACAAGTTATAAATTGGCGATTATTGCATTAATGCTGCATATTGCTTGAGATCCAAGATTTAAGAAAGACTGGGTTTGAAACTAGTTTGTCCATACCTGAAGGTGTCATGTAGAAGTTCTTCTGTGTCCCAACAAGGGATGAGTTCTAAGAAATCCCTTGCCCCTTTATCTTCCTTGTTCAGCTAGGGACTGGTCTTTGCTTTTCAGCCCATTTCAATTTTCCGTATCTGTTCCCTATAATCTTGTTAAAATTACAGATTTTCTTTTAATTTATATGGTTCCAGACAAATGGCAGAACTGGAGAAGGAGCAACAATTTCAGTATCAACTACTTGTAGAAGCCTGTGGACTAGATCGAAGACAGGATATTTCACGTCCGTGGGTTTATTCCTACTTCGAGCGTTCTTTTACAACAGAAGATGATTAAAGTCCTAAGCCATCCCGAGATATCTTTTTGAGTAGTTATAAAAGCAAACTTGCATTCTGACAGGTTTTTTTGACAGACTAAGAAGTGAAATATAGAACTACTAAATACTTTCCTTCAAATTTTGTCTGATCCCTAAGAAAGTGCTGATATATCTAGACAATGTTCTAAACAATTTAACCCATACTGGGATGTGTGTGGGTATATGTAAATATAATCTATTTGCTGTTATTGCAAACATGGTGCATTTCCTTTAGCACTGACCCCAACCATAGTCAAGCTAGCTTGATAGGTGGTAGTAAATGTCATCTGTGGGTCCCGCTTTTGATTGGTTCCTATGCAGTTTCATCTCTAAACTTTAAATTATTTTTTCTCTACCCTTCTAGCTATTTCATTTTTAGGCTATAAAGTAGGCTCTTTCCTTTGAAAACTCCTAAGGTATAAGAGACTGTCTTTAAGGTTATAAATCTCGAGATTAAGACATGAACTATATTTTTGTTTTGTAAAATAGAAATATAGACCTTCCTGATGAATAACATGTTATATACTGTATAATAACATGCTTTCTGATGAATAACATGTTAACAAGGTGGTCTTCAGAAATAGGGGCCTTGGGATTTCTATTTAAGAGACAGCCTATGAACATGATTCATACTCTCATTTCTGAGTGTTTTGTGTTTTAACTGTGAATTAATTTTTATGATCCTAGAAATTGGTCTGGTGTAACGTACTGCTCAGGTGTAAGGAATTCCCAGCTGTTCAAGTTCTTCTTAAAGCAAATTCAGCTGGCTCCCAAATTTTCTTTCAGACTAATTATGCTATTTTTTTTAAATGAGTCTTATTTTTAAGTGTTTAATCTTTAATAACTATAGGTTTTATTGTAGACATTTAAAACTTTTCTCTTGCAAACTGCTGCCCGCCCTCTAGAAGAAACATCAACATAAGGGGCAAATAATCAAGAATCACATTACAAATCCTTCCCACTGACTTCATTCAAATATTTAATGCTAAAGATATGGATAACACTTAAGCCCAGATTTTGATTTTTGAAAACAAGTTTTAATTTTTAAAAAAAGTTTGGCATGCGTACAAAAAGGCATCAGAAGTTGGACATGGAAACTACAAGCATTGGAGAAGATCCATTTAACACTTTACAGTTAAGTGCCTGAAAATTAAATACAATTAAATGGTTTGTTAAAGAATGCTTAAGAACACTGCAGTCTTAATTTCTGACCTTTCCCATTCCCCTGGCAACAAAAATAAAGCCGAGGTAGAGCAGTGTTTCTAGTCCTGCCATCAATATTGCAAACCTGAGCTAAAGAATCTTTCTAGCATTGACAGGTTTTCTATGACAGTTCTGCAATTGGCTAAAAGAGATAAGATAGAAGATTTTGAATTAGACTTAGGGAAAAAAATCAGTTGGGAAAAAAAAAGTTTTGTTGATCAGGCCTCATTACAGAACACTATTTCATATAACTTCCAAACATGAATAATTTATTTCCAGAAAATTAACTTATTTTCAGGGGTACTTACACTCTAAGATTGCCAATGGGAGCTGTCTGAAAAATGAACTAGTTTAGTGCATGCATATGGGATGCATGTAATTCTGCAAAGTACCTAGGTTTTCCAATATAGATTACAAGATAGTGTTAACTTGTATTGAAATCAATACATTTATTGTTATTCATATCTAATTTGAGTCCCAATATTTTCTGTGATTCTCTGTAATTGAAGAATTGGTACATCCCTGTTTTTTAAACACCACTGAAGATGTTTAGATAGCATTTTCATTTTTTCCATATTTATTCTTCATTACTTTACCATTAATTTTCAGAGTTCTGGAGCCACACATAACAAAATACAACTTCCGGTGAAAGATAAATTCTTGATTTCTACTTATACACTGAGAGCAAGTAGCAGGGAAAGTGCTAATTCTCAAAAGTGAATCAATTTTTTTCCTGTGTAACATCCTCCAGCATCGATAAGAAATTATCTTCTTTAAATATTCTTCACTAGTTTTTCAAATAATCTTCCAAATTTAAGTCTTAAAAGAAAATGCAGAGGTTTATGAATTTGTTTCCTCTTATTTATTTAAAGGGAAGCCAATACAATCTATGTTCATTGAAAAACCACATTCCAGGCAAACAGGTACAACATAAAAATCATAACTCTTGTTGCATGAAGATGTACATTAATTAAAACTTTCCTAGGATCTTCTGTTGACAAAACCCCAAACAATTTCCATGTTATCTTCAGTGAAGCCATTCCAAAGATAATATTACCATAAAGAAACTACATTTTTGCCATCAGTATTTGGCTACTTCCCAGTAAAATCTACAGAAAACTCTTCTTAATATTAGGACGTAATCCTTCTGTTTATATTTCAAAAAGTTTCCATATCTTCTCTTAAAATCCACAAATAAAAGTCACACACCTAAATTTCAGGCCAACATGAATAGTAGAAACCTCTGCCTACTGCCAAATAGCCAACGCTTGGACACATGACCATTGCCAACATGTAACTGCATGTGTAGACAGTTGCTTTTCTAAAGAGGAAATTGGAAAAATTGGGAAGTACAACTGTAGTAGGATCACAAAAGTCTGACACAATGACAGTGTATAATGAGCACAATAATTCAAAACAGACAACTGGAAATAATATTTAAAACATAGGAATGTGGCGTTGGTTTTAATTCAGTGTTATATACCACATTACAAAAGAACTATTATTTAAAAATAAAAAAGGATAAAGGGGAAAAAACAAACATTCTAAATTGTTGAATGGCCTCCTGTCTGTTCCTGATAAACCTCAATCACATCTTCTTCTTCCATTCCAAGCTGTAAAATAAGAACCACAATTTTATTTTTAAAAATCCAAAATATAGAGCCATATTGGATGCTCACCATGCACATTGGTTCCGTGGATTTTCTGCAGAAGAAACTAGCAGCAGAGTTAACAAATAAGTAAACAGTGCATATATAAAGAGATTCTCAGCAAGTATCGGGTTTACTAAAACTTTATTTTAAAAAATAAGTATGCCACAATACACAATCATTAAATATCTTATACCATAAAGCATGGTTTAAGCCCTAATTTTAAATTAAAATAATTCCATACATATTGGTAAATTACTCTTTGGTAATGTCTTCTGCACTATATTAAGATAATTATCAAACTGTTTATATAAGCTATAGAATGATGTTTCACTTTCTCCATGCATAAGAGACTTCTGTGAAATACAGTGCTGTTTAATGATAGTATAGTTATGAGCTTGGTTAAGATGGATGATCATATAAAATTTTAAATAAATGAATAAATAAATGTAGAGATTATAAATATTTTGCAGAGCTTGGGTAATAATTTCCTTTTAAAACATTCTTAGTCACCTAGAATCACACACCTGGGATGGATGGCAAATACATTTAATAAATAAATGATTATAGAATAAAATAAAAGGCCATTCTCATGAGCTTTGTGGATAATGTAGGAAAGATGCAGGGTGGTAAGGTAACTCCAGGAACAGCATCTACGTTTTATTGTCTTGTCAGTTTTTTTAGTATTATCAGTTCTTATATATACAAGTGGTCCTCACTTGACAGTAATTGGAACTGGAAGTTCTTCTCTAATTGATGGAAATGCTGAAAAAACATTTAATAAGTTACAATTTCTTGGGAAATTGCAATAAAATGGTTTGCCACTGCCATCTTCTAGGAAGTTTTTTTAACTGTCCTGTCTTGCCTACAGCTGTACATTTTCTGAAGATTTCTCTATCATGTACTAGTCAGGTGTGAGCCTCCTTAGTAGATTAGATCACTAAAGTTGACTACTCACTCTCAACTAGGAAACAATGCATATTGTTCATATATACTCAAATCCCCAAAATCGAATTATATTATTTATCTAATAAAATAATCCAAACTGTATTGTGATACCAATTTTACTTATATTTTAGAGGAACACAGGTTGAATCCAAAATTCCAAATATGAAAGAAAGCAGATAAAACAGATTCTCATGCACCCTGCCTTCCAATTTTTAAAGACCAATGCATTTCTCCTTAATTTGTTTCCCTAACTTCTAGAGGAAGATTTTTTTCCTCCAAAAGATGAACCAGCACGTACCAATTTAATAGATAAATTTTGAAAATCAGTTTATAAAATGCAAATGTTACTCTACTATTTTATTTAATTTAGGTAACATTTAAAACTATTCAGTTTTTAGAAAATATATTTTAAAAAATCAAGGACGAACTTTTAAAAGCTCTTTACAAGAGATCACACAGAACTGTCATACTAATAATCACATGGACTGCACCTGCAGTAAAGGCTTCTTAATAGCACCCTGCTATCTTTAAAATATCTGGACCTCATTTTCTGGAAATATTACACATACAAGCTTTAATTTACAATTCAAACAGAGCTATATAAATACTTAAAGGTTTTAACTAACCAACTTGAAAATAAGTTCTGTAATATAATGGGACATAATCTTTACTTATTTGAATCCATTTGCGTCATACAGAACAATTTTAGAGCCACAATTTAACCTTCAAAATGCGGCCTTTCAGGCTATGTTTGTTTCTGTAATTTTGATCAAAATTTATTCACCATTCTACGCTCTAATATACCTACAGGTGAAAAATGACTAGATAAACTATGTACCAGAGGAAATATATGTACAATAGATATCTAATACTTTATACCAAGGGAACTTTTAGAATTTTTTAAGATCAGAGAATCTGTATCACTTTTTTCTTTGCCAGAAAATTAAAATGTAAGTTTGAAAGGTTAATACTATCCAGTCAAATTTTTTGAACAATTCTGGAGAACCTTGTCAAACATGAAGATGTTAAAGCATAGTTCACATTTGGACATATGGAAGTAGGGGTTGCTTTTCAAGAAAACATGTCTTGAATATGGTTGGGTAGTACAAACTGTTGAGTACATTTACTGATAGGAGACATCCAGTATCTAATTTAGTTTTTCTAGAACCTTAATATGTATCAATTAAGAGCCTGGTACAAAAGATATTTACAAATATCCAGAATTTTGTTTTGTACTACAATAATTGAAAAGTGCTGACAATTCTTCAAAGCAAATGACCACTCCAGGTTTCCTCAAACTTGTTCATTTCAACAATATAATTTAAAATGGAAATTCATTTTGTTAAATAAATTCATTTCTACTCTTAAGTAACCAGGATTGGATTGTTTGCTTGTTTTAGGTCAATCTAACTATTTCGAATAGCTATTGCCAAAAAGCTATACAATACTGACATAACTACAAACAGTATTAGGAATTGATCTCCAAGAATACTTACCTCTTTTGGAGTATGATTATCAGTAATTCTCTGACCCTCAAAGAGGAACCTGAGTGAATTCATTGGAACTCCCTAAATGAAGAGAAATGGAGTCAATTTTAACTGACTGAACAAAAACCCAGATATTCACTACCGTCTACCATCCATTTGTTTATTTTAATTTTATGCAGTAATATATTCAGTCAGGTGCAGAGGAACATAAAAACTGAACTTCTTATATTTGACATCATGTGAGCAAGGAAAACTTCAAGTTACAAACCTGTCTCTGACAGTATGATTCTTTAAGTTTCTTTAGATGCGTTGTCATTTTCACCTTGAAGTGAATTTCACTGCTGTCCTGCAAATTGAACACAAAATATAATAATTCTACTGGTACATAGTATTAAAATGGCACTTATTATAGATATGTAAAATGTTTTGAGCTTGGATCCAATACTTTTTTCCTTAAATATGCTTGAGATATAACAAATTGTGTCATTCCACACCTGAGTTTCACATTTTCTTACATCTCTTTCTTAAATTGCTCTTTCTTAAATTCTTTCACACACAAGAGATTTATTTCAGAAGTTGATGGATTAACATTTTATTCAATTTTTTCTTAAACAATCCTATTTTAGCCAATAAAAGAGATTACATCCCTAATGCCACTAGTTTGCAATAGGGTTAGGAATAAAAATCTTTTAAAACTCATGTTCAGTGATGTTCAGTGAAGAACTATTTTGGACATAAAAGAGACTGCAATTTGCCTGAAATCAGGTTTAATTGTTGATTCTTATTAATAAAAATATTTTAATAAACCCAACTTTTCTGTAGGTAAAGTGTAAGTAACTTAGTATAACTTAATATAGAATTGGTAGGTAAATGTAATCAGATTTTTGCTGTCAGATTCTTTATTGCCACTGAATTCATATTGAAATATAAGCTTGCAAGTATAATCTTCCATTGTAAAAACTATGTTAAAAATAAAACAAATTATGAGGGACACAGTAACATTTTGTTTCGAATTTGCAACAAAACTTGAAACGTTTCAAATATTTTATTATAGGGAACAATCACAATTTTTGTGACTTTAAAACAGAAAAACTCATAACACATTGATTCTTATTGTTTATTTTTGTTTGATTATTTTTTATTTTATAACTTGTTTATTTTCAACTTATTTATTTTAGATGCATGCATATAAGAATGACTAAATCTATTTTGGCTTCTAGAATTTATAACTTGTATAAAAACAGGAAGCTCAAATTTAATACAAAATCAGCCTCCTGATCATGATAGGACTTAAGAAATTTTAGAGTCCTCTTATGCAAGAATACTTTTGTTTACAAAATACAAACACCATTTGCTAGTCTACATATATACAGTACTACATTAAATATATTTTAGTAGATAAAAAAGGCAGATCCTATACTTGCAGGAAAATATTAAAAAGAAAAAGAACTGATATACTATATAACTCTACCTATCTATATGGTTATACGTGTAAAATTAGGAAGGATAAGCTAGAATAGATTAGAACTCACTTGCCCAATGACCTTAAGTTTAATGTATTCGCCCTCTTTTTTATCACCCAAATCCTCTGCTGAAGGTTTGGCTTCCTGTAATAAAAAATGAAACATATACAGAGACAAAAATGATAACTATGATTATATTCTTTTCATGATTCTCTTTTTTGCATATTAAGAGTAAATTTGTTCATAATAAGGGTTTTCTTTGGAATTTCTTCAAGCTCTTTTGTCTTCAGACAAGATTAGAGGGAGAGGAAGAACATAAAATAAACTCAACATGACTAGATTCATTAATAAAAACATAATGCATCTGTTAACGCTATAACTAAGATGCTATAAAGTACGAAATGATTTCCAAGTTTTAGAGTTCTGATTTCATTTATTTTATGGTTGATTATATTTTTTAATAAAGCAGCAATTCAGAGCTTCAAAAAAGACTCTAAATTCCAATTTTAATTTCTATATGACAAAAATGTAGCTAGGAAACTGAGAGGAAAAATCATTGAAGATCAAATACTCTCAATAAGCAAAATTATAGCTATCTGGGTGCTTGGTCCAATCTGCAAAATCTAAGAAATGATTACAGGTAGTCCTTGATTTACAACCACAATTGAGCCCAAAATTTCTGTTGCTAAATGAGACAGTTGTTAAATGAATATTGGCCCATTTCACAAAATGGCCAGAGTTGTTAGTGAATCACTGTAGTTGTTAAGTTAGTAACACAGTTGTTATGTGAATCTGACTTCCCATTGATTTTACTTGTCAGAAGATGACAAAGGTGATTACATGACCTCAGAACAGTGTAACTGTCATAAATATGAACCAATTGCTAAGCATCTGAATTTTGATCATGTGACCATGGGGTCGCTGCAACAGTCGTGTGAAACATGGTCATAGGTCTCTGTTTTCAGTGCTGTAGTAACTTTTAACAGTCACTCAATGAACTGTTGTTGAGATCAATGTGACCTATGACCAGTAGTCAATACCTACAACTGTTGCAGCATCATGATCATGTGATCAGAATTTAGGTGTTTGACAACTGGCATGTATTTATGACAGATGCACTGACCTGGGGTCATGTGATCACCATTGGTAACCTTCCCAGCCAGCTTCCACAAGCAAAACCAGTGGGGGAAGTCAGGTTCACTTAATGACCGCATGATTCACTTAACAATTGGAGTGATTTGCTTAACAAGTATGGCAAAAAAGGTAATAAAAGGAGGTACAAATTGTTTAACAACTGCCTTGCTTAACAACAGAAACTTTGGGCTCAATTGTGGTCGTAAGTGAAGGACTACTTGTACTTGCTCCTTTCTCAAATCACAAGATAAAATATTGTTAGCAATAAAGAAGCCTAGCCTTTCTTTACTTCAAAACATAGTTAAATTACAGCTTATTTTGCAATTAATAGTGAATAAGAGGCTTGTTAGTCACAATCTATATGCAGACAGAATGTACAACTGCCTAAAGGTACAGTAAATACATAAAACATAAATACATAGCCTACTTATTCACTGAAAAAGCTATTATAATGCCTAATTAAATGTAAATCCCCTTACTTATGCTTCTCTGAAGTGGAGAGTTAGACCTCCAAGTTTCAATTTTATATAGATCAAAAAGTACAGGCTATTTATTTACATTGCTTTTAATTATCTTCTTACTGATTCAGTTTCATTCTTATTTAGTATATATTCTGAAACTTTTAAATTCTAACTGTAAAAGCAATTCCATGAACTACTTCAATGAAATCACAGACAGATCAGTTAGTTCTAAGTCTTAACTGATTTTAGAGGTTTCCAGTATTTAGTGCACTGAAGCCCTGTCCCTCCCACATTTCTAGTTCTCTGAGTAGAAAACATGTGAGGACAGTATTTGGTATCTTTCTCTCTGACTTGGAATGTAAATTAAGTTATACAAACCAGAAAAAATAATAAAAACAAGCAACATCACATACATATAACCAGTACTATTTTCTTTTGATACTGAAGAAAATCTGAAATGCAGGACTACCGACTGACATGGCACTGAAGTAATAACATCACTGGCTGAAATATTTAGAAAAAAAAATTAAGAAAAAATTAACAGCCCAATTTCTTCCCCGCTTCAAAAAATACGGATTCCCTATGCAAATTCATAAAACAGTCGAATTGCTCAAATATAACACTTTATAATAGCATTATATGAATGAGCCCTGTGTCCATGCTGAATCTCTATTTGCTTGGAAGGAGACTGGAAGTTTGCACAACTATATTTAACACTTTCCAATTACTATTTCTGAAACAAGTCAATTGTTGTCACTATATTGTTTTTAAAATAATCCACGATATGGATTAATTGCATGGAAGTGAAAATGAAAGCAACCTTATGTAAATTGCTGCTCCCACTTCCATGAAGCAAAGACTCATAACATTAAGATATAAGCTAATGTTATGATTAAGACACTCTAATGATAAAACTGGCCCATTATGTTTAATTTGTTGGACAAATTCAAATTTGAATTAATGGCTAAACAGAGCCTTTCTATTTTTACTCCATCTGGCCACCGCATGGATTTGTTTTTTGTTCAAATAATGTCAAAGCTTATGCAATTAAAAAAGGCTATCCTGCCAAAACATGCTTCAGGCAAGCCAAACAGGAAATGTCAGGTCGTGTGAACAAGTCTTGATGTTCCCGGTGCAAGCAGCAGTCTTGCAGAACATCTCAAAACAATGGTTCATTTACGATCATCGTGGCCGTTTCTAAAGAAATTTCGCCCTTTTCTGAGTCAGACTGTAATGAAAGGCGCATCGAACGAGAAGCGGGATCGTGGAGAGGAAACAGAAACAAAAAGGAGCCCAAACAAAAACTTTGGCCTTTTTATTTCTCCCAATGGGTTTCCTCCAGAGGAGCCAACTCCGATCTGTCTCCTACGCTCTACCGAGAGGGCATTTCGGGGTGATTCTATTTCATGGCCCGGAAACACGTTAGGAAGGCTAAACCCGGGGCACGAAACGGATGTGGAGAGGCAAGCCGGGGACCAAGCCGGCCTAGGTTCACCGGGGGCGGGGGGGGGGTTGCCATGCCTTTAAGCCCCTCCGGCCGAGGGGACCCGGGTTGTTGTGGCCGCCTGCGGAATGCCCGGGCGGTTGGGGCGGCCGACTGCGAGCTGCTTCCTGCCCAGCACGAGCCTCCCACCTGATCCGACATGTCTCCCTCGCAGACGCAGCCGGCCCCTCCGCCACCCCCGGAGAAGCGCCTCGCCGTCGCCAACACCGAGAGCACAACACACAGGCCGGGCGCGGGCAGGCGGGATTTCCTCTGCGCCTGAGATCACTTCCCGCTCTCCAGGCACAGCCCACAGAAGAAGCGCAGTGCAACTTTGCTCCGCCCCCGCCTAGGACTCCGGAACAGTTTTGCGCGAGTTCCAGAGCCGCTCACAGCCCGCTCTTTGCAGCGTTTACGACAGTCGCAACTTAGTTGCTCCGGCTTTGCGCACGGCCACCTAGGAGCACTTACGTCTTGCACCTTTTCCATATTTGCATCGTCGCACATCTCTTTCCTTTGAAGTTGTATACTGTCCTTCCTAACAGTAGCGAGATTGGAAGGCAGAAAGCCGCGTATTTTCCAACTTTGCTGAAAAAGACCAGCTACTGATTTACTTCTCCATCTTGTGCCCAGGTAGAGAGAATGTTATGAGGAACCATCTACCGACATTTTAACCATAACCAGGACACAAAAGAGGGGAGCTGCAACCCACATGGTTGGACGGCAGAAGGAGTTGCAAAAAAGACACGAATTGCATGATGTGATATTTTCATACATTAATATGCAAACCTGAAAAAAATACAGCAACGCAGCCTGTCATGCAGATAAAGTTACCACAGCTTGCATGCCTGCTAATTTGGTACGGATAGGTGCTGCTAAGCAACAACCAGAGTTCCCTTTTCTCTTGTATAGCATTAGACACTGGACTTCCAAGCAGATTTATTACTATAGAGGATATGTGGCTATTCAAGTTGTGAAAAAACATGGTTGGCTGACATGCTGAACCATCTTCTAGTTGTCATAGCAACTGCAGACTTCGAACTTCAATGCTATGTTCTACTTTCTCCTTCCCCCCTATCCCCCCCAATTTATACAGCAGCTGAAACATGAACATTTGCCATTTGAATGTCATGTAGTTGGACTTTCTAAAAGCCTAATTTTAACACGTCAAACTAATTGGGGAGCAGAACAGCAGGAGTTGAAAGAGGTGGGGCAGACCACTCTATTCTCTCTGAAGGGACATAATAGTAGAATAGGTAGAATTAGTGGGACATAATAATAACTTGCTATTTCACTTCTGTAAGAATTAGAATTACCTGTGTCATTTACTTCTACCAGTGATCTAATTTCTGTTATCTTGGTTTTTTTGTATAACTAGGTGCCTGGAACAGAATATGTCATAGCTTGGCAAGGATACACCAGACAAATAATAGTAAGCACCCAGCGCCCACCTCCCTTCCTTGCTGCACGGTCAGTGCAGGGCTACAGGGAAGACATTGGCCAGGGGGCCAGAACTGGGTACTAAGCTGATATCTCTGAAGGTATAAAAGGATGCCATACCTTCCCCAAGGTGTGGCCTTTCACTGCATGCTCTTTGTATGTTGTGGAATGTCTACCCAGCTCTTCTTTGTACAAAAGCTGGTATTTTTTCCAAACCTCTTCTTGGGTCTCTCTCTTTGGCGCTCTGGTGACTCAAGTACATTTTGGGACCTTACATCACAATTTGTAGTTCTGCAACAAAGGGAAAAAAAATAGATCAACTGATTAAGCAAATACCATCTACAGATTTAGTGTGTATACAAATAGTTCTTGACTTGAAGCCACAGTTGAGACCACAACAGCCAGTTTGGTCTAACGATTAAAAGCATCAGGCTAGAAAACAGAAGACCATGAGTTTTAGTTCTACTGCCTGGGTGACTTAGGGCCAATCATTTTCTCAGCCAACTCATCTCACAGGGCTGTTATGGGAAAAACAGGACAAGGAAGGAAGGAATATTACATATGTTAGCCATCTTAAGTTACTTCTAAAGTAATAAAGGCAGATATAAAATCATCTAATAATGAAAAATAATATATAAAGAGTTGTAACTTTGAATGTAAAATATACTTATTTTTTGTTCTGTTTTTCATTTTTAAGCATTTATGTATATTTTTCATAATGTATTGTTCCCCTCTTCTCTAATTTAAACAGCAAGAAAAAATAAAATTTTAAAAATGGTTCTTTTCTGATTTTCCATGTTATCAGTCTATGTAGCTGACATTTTTCATCTCTCTTTATGCCAACGTGGTCTGGATCAGTTATTTTGGCTAAAGATTGCTTAAACTCTTTGCAAGAATGATGCAAAAAAGCTTATGATGTAAAATATATTGAGTTCTACATCATTTTCAGGTCTACTATGACAGGTCTATTTTTTATTCTAAATTACAGAATAGATTTTAAATAGAGACCTTCCAAACTAATTAACGAGGGATACAGGCTTATTATGTCTTGTTCCAGTTAGGTCTGATTTTAAGATCTCAAAGTATATTTTTCTTAAGAGATATTTTGACAAATCCATGCAAAGATATTGTTTTAGCATAAAGATGGTTGATGTATTTAATGTTGCGATGAATCATGGATGTTGTGGCAAAGCTTAGCTCCTATTGAAAAACAGGCGTTTTGCAAGAAGCAAATACTGAAGTAGACATCTTGATCAATTTATATATAGTTTACAGTATTTACTTTGGGTCCAGATTTAAAATCTACAGAAACGCAGACCAAAAAAATCTCCCCACGAGTTTTACTGAAACCTAGAAAAGCCTATGAATTACAAGAATTCCCCCTTTAGACCACATGAACACAATAGGAAATCAAGTAGCGAGCCCCGCCGTTTCAAAAATTGAAATGTTCGTTCCCTTTCCCCGCCTTCTGCTCCGTTCCGTCTTCCCGGCAGGCCATCAAAAGCACTTCCGGGTGAAGCGAGCCAGAGACTTCCGCTCGTGCGGCGCATGTTTCTTGCAACTAGTGGTCCGTTAGCCAGCGTACTTCTGCCACCCGCGCAATCTGTACTTTTCCCGGGGAGCCCCTGCGCTGCCTGCCCTTGATCGCGCTGCAGCGATGCTGGTTTTGTTTGAGACGGCGGCCGGGTACGCCATCTTCAAGGTGAGGCTGGGCGGTAAGCACGTGTTCCTGGGCTCCTCGCGGGGTTTGGCTGAATGGCGAGAGTCGAAAGTAGAAGGCTTGTTTTCGCCTCTGCTGCGCTGAATGGCAGAATGAGCTAAAGGATTTTTCCATAAAGGATTACTTCCCTTTTCCTACTGGGGGTTAGCAACTTGAAAGAAATGCTGATCACTTTTAGATGACCAGCCTTCTTCTTTAAGCTTTCTGAATCCATTTTCAAATTCCCCGAAATGGATTGGCAGTGTCCTGCCTACTTTATGCTCGTGGGTGGACCATCTTCTTTCTCCTTTGCCACTGGCGGTGAGGGGAAGGACAGATTGTTAAAAATGAAGGAGGGGAGTAAGTTTTGGAACATTCCTACTTAATGCTTTTCTGGTTTTGGTGTGAAAGGAGCCCCCTAGTGATGAAAGGCTGTCATAACTGGGAGGCATACAGCTACTTTAAACCTGGTTGTATCTTTATCCAACTGGTTGTCTGAACAAAGAATTATATATTTTTAAGGCAGTTGCTTTTAATCCGGAAAGGGATGTTGAGGTTTTGTATGCTGGCTCCTTGCTTCCAAAGAAAGGAAAACTCACAAACTACAGATAGTTCTCGATTTACAACAGTTCATTTAAGGACTGTTCAAAGTTACAACAGCACTGAAAAAAGTGACATGACCGCTTTTCACTCTTATGACCATTGCAGCATCCCGACGGTCACATGATTTACATTCAGATGCTTGACAACTGGTTTATGTTTATGACAGTTGCAGTGTCCCAGGGTCATGTGATCCCCTTTTGCAACCTTCTGACAAGCAAAGTCAATGGGGGAACCAGATTCACTTGACACCTGGTTACTAACATCAACTGCAGCGATTCACTTAACAACTGCTCAAAGAAAAGTCGTAAAATGGGGCAAAACTCACTTAAACAAATTTCTCACTTAGCAACATAAATTCTACAATACAATACTTGTATTGTTTTTGGGTGAGTGGGGGAAACCTTGCATTGTATGCAGCAGAAATTCTCCCATGCAACTTGGTGCTTTTTTTTAAAAAAAACAATTTTTTCTTAATTTTTAAGAAACAATAGATAAACAAACTAAACGTAGAATGTAATAACATCTTTTCTGAAAAAACCAATAAAGCATCTTATTTAAGGACAGAATAATTCCAAATTATCACATTTCCATACAAACACAATTTAATATATATATTATCTTATCTATTCAACTTCATATCTTATCCCAACTTCTCTTTATTTCTCCCTTTCCTTCTACTATTCAATTATATTTCTTTTGCCTTAGATTATATATATTCTTTATATCCATCCGTCTTATTTACAATTTCATTATTCTCTTCCAATGTTCTTCTTACATTCTTCTAAAATTTAATTAATTCAGACATAGACAAACAAAACATAAATACATAAAACTTCTTTTTGGAAAGTGGCTTGCCCCGGGTTACCTCTTTTTGTACAGACATAAATCAAATTCAAAACAGATTTTTTTCAGAGATAAAGTATATTTACTATTTCATATCTTATTTAGCATTCTGTATTTTCTATATATTTTCTCTCTATTCACTCTTCTATTATGTTTATTTTGTCTCAATTTAAATAATTATACTTGTATCCTTTGTCCGTTCTCTTTTAATCATCTATTTATCTTTTCTTTCTAATACAATATTTCTCCTTTAATCACTGGTTGAAGCATGACAACTTTCTATCTTTCCCCTAAGTTTAACACTTGGAATAATACATACGTTCCACACTGATTTTGCTTAGTACATTCTAAGTACTACATTTTAGAATAATAAAACAAAAATAAAAAAGAAATTGAGTTTATAATATAATAAGAACAATATCCCATAAAATATTAAACTCTATTATTAACTCTTAAACATTTTATACGTTCCCTTTAATGCATTATTAACTCATATAATAGTTCAATTTTCTAACTCAATTTCAAATACTAATATCTACAATACAATCTTATGTACTTTTGCAAAATCATATATTTTTTTAATAACTTACCCTTTATCTCTGAAAAAAATCTGTTTTTTAGCATCTTGTTTTAAACCTTTATGACTTCTCTTTCCTTTTCCCCTTCCTTTCTTATCAATTCTAGTCTTTTTGCCCCCCCCCCCCAAT